TTTTTGTTTGTAGGTGGCATTTCCATGCGAATTTCATCATGAACACTTTTTCATATAATTTTTCCATTGGCTCCATTGGCTCGAACTGCCAATGTTTCGATAGCTATAATAATTTGCTGCTCGTCCTAACGGGTGCTTAGGTCGGAGTTAAGAGCAAGGATTGTAGAAATGTGTGTGCAAACGTCGTTAACATATGGTTTATTAACAGTTACATTAATAATAAGCAAGATTCACATCTTATAGAAGAGTGTAAACTCTGTCTTGTCTCAATCATGTGGTTACTCCTTGATGGTAATGATGTCGTGGCCTCTGCTAATGTTGTAAGGATTAGCCGAGATAGCTCACACTCCTGTATAGGATGCTTGGCCTTAAAGTATATATATGCACACACTTCTCTGTAGGATGTGTGGCCTTGAAGTATATACAATAAAGAGGCTTCTGCTACTGTTGCCAAGATTAGGAGTAATATGCTCAAACTCCTGTATAGGACGCGTGGCCTCGAAAGTGTATGGAAATACCATGAGACTATGCTTGTTGTAGCAGTGTACATACTCGTATTGCAGTCAACACCCTTGACTGCTTGTAAGTTATAGCACACTTGATAATTAAAACGTGTATTCCTTGGGATGGCTTCATTGCATGAGCATAATTGAGTGACTGGTGTGTGGCATCAAACGCTGGCTGAATGGCGTAATAAATGTTGATAACTACTCGATGATCATATAAACATTGTAGGCCATTTGAAACCAAACATAACAAGTACACGAAAATTCTTGTCCTCAAGTGTTTACAGAAATTTGAGAACTAGAGAGACTAGCGATACCGACAGTCAACGGTCTTTGAAATTGCTCAAATCCCGAACATAAGTTTATTTAGTTATCTTTAGAAAAATTAACAATAACTAATAGCCTATTTATTTAATATTCATGGATAAATATCTTTATTCTGTTTTTTTATTATATATATATATATATATATATATATATATATATATATATATATATATATTCAAAAACATAAATAAAGGGAATAAAATTGTTTTAAAATTTTTAAAAAATTTATAAAATCAGCTTATATTTTCATATGTTTGACAATAATTGTGAAGTAGTAAACATTTTTGCATTTATTTTAAGATTATCTTTTATTTTCAATAATAATATATCTAAACTAATATTATATTACTAATAACTATATTACGAATATAACTAATATAAGTTAATTATTGGTAGCACTGCCAATAGCTATTGGTTTTAACATTGTTGTCGAAGGTGTTTTTAGTGTGACTACTCTTGTCAGCCCATCCTTGCCAGGATGTGTATCGATTATTCGGGCGAGAGGCCATTTGCACGGTGGGAAACGCTTATTCGTGATGAGACGCAACGAGCCAATCTTAATGTCATTCCGTGGATGATGCCATTTGGAAATTGATTGTTGTCGTAAATAGTGAGCTGACCATTGTGACCAGAATAGTTGTACATGCTGTTGTATAAATTGCCAGCGAGACAATCCTGATATCCTAATATCCTGAAATTCTGAGCAAACTCCCTATGAGGAAATGTCCTCAGATGAGTGTCGAAACATCTACGCGGTCGTCACTCATCGACTCTAGTGGCCTGGAGTTGAGGATTGCCTCAATTTAGGCAAGCAGGGTGGTAAACTCTTCATGAGTGAGGAAGGTCTGTCGGATAATACATCTTAGGTGGTGTCTTACAGATTTTACCACAACTTCCCTCTTGCCTTCCATTTGAGGCGTTGCGGGTGTGTTGAATTCCCATTGAGTGTTGTCTTGTGAGAGCATATTTACTATCTGTTGACGTTCGAGGGTGCCTTGAATGAATAGTCTTTTGAGTGCTGCATGAGCCCCGATGAAGGTTATACCACAATTTGAGTACAATGTGTTTGCAATTTCTCGACGAACTGTGAATCGTATGTATGCGGATATAAACCATCAGTTGTGTAATGACTGACTACTTCGATGTGTACCGCATATGTATTAAAATACAAACATGCAAATGCATGCTTTATGAGGTTAAGGGACGGCATAATTAACCCCCGTATGTTTAAACGGGCGTGATCTTGATATGATCATTTGTTTAAGGGATGCTACCTGACTTTTGGAGCATACTAATGAAATGATAATGTTATCTGTGTAGTGGACGAAGATGTATATGTTTGTTATCGTAATGATCTGTTAGCAGTTTCAAAGCCGGAGCAAGGGATTCGTTGGTCAGTGGGAATCCAGAAATCAGTTCTGGACCAATGCCTTGAGAAGGTCGCGAAACTTACGCTAGTCCTCTTGCTTTCCTGAGAGATTGGAAAGATTGACGTTTGAGAGTCGGGCCCCTTCTACCTGTACCTTACTTGGCGAGGCTTCTCTCACATCGGATACTGTCTTAGAGGCTTGGCGAAGTTTAGTGATGATTTTTCGCATCGTTTTGTATTGTGTGAACTCCTTCTCATAGGCGTTTTTCATGAGGTAGTCATGATTGAGATGCGAAGCTAGCCATGTCGTAGTCATGTACGCATGATATTTGTTGAAGGCCTTATGCAACTCCTCCATGTGTGAAATTGTATCTGAAGTTTCATCCGGGCAGATGTCGCACTGTGATGACATGTTCCTCAGCCAGGTTCTTCAATAATGAGATGCGAGACCATTGAGTCTTTGCCATTATCTCAAGTTTAACGGGAAAGTGGAGTGGAGATGCACGTTTTGTAAGAATCAACAACTGATTGTGCACCCTCCGTATTAGGAAGTGTGTCTTACGCTATGTAATAATAGCCAAGCTAATCTTTTAAGGATGAGCAATAATTGTGCACAACTTATGATTACACAATATAAATTTATTTTCTGACATTGACGTTATTACACATTCATCAGTTATTAATTATAAATGTTTGTTATCTATCGGGTAATTGCAATAGAATTTTCAACAAGCACTTAAATGTAATATGCCAATTAAGTAACATATTATTTAGTTATGCTTTAATAAACTATGAAATGCTACAAAATTATAATTTCGTAAAAAATTCTTATATAAAAAATAAATAAGTTAAAAATATCAATGAAGCATTTTAAACATATGGTTGCAATCGGATCAGATAAAATCATATAAAATTGTTTTTTCATTATATTGTTATAAAGTAATAAAGTAATATAATAAAGTTCACATTATTTGTAATTTTTTATTCATAGATTTCATTAAATTATTGTATACAAAATTTAATATGTATAACGAAATATTATTTTGCATATTATTTTTTCTTTTCACAAGCATTAGAAGCAGTAATAATTAACATTGAAAAAATGTACAACGAAAGCGGGTATAAATTAATAACAACGAATAAAAAGTGTGAAAACAATAAAAATTGAATATAGAATAATGTTAAATATGTAATTAAGATTAATAAGAATATTTATAAGAAAAGTAGATAAAATGTTCATAAGTAACAAAATTAATTGATAGGCCTTTAGGTCTCGTTCGATTGATAATTGTATAGGGTTAGATTCTAGTAATATAATATTTAAGGATTAAGTGCATATAGAAACTCGTGATAGTTTATATCAGAAAAAAAATTCATGTGCATTAAATATGAAAATATTCCGTTACGTATTTACACAGAGTATAGTAATACTAACAGCAATTGTAAAATAAAAATCTTCACAATAAATATAAATTGATTGTCGACAATTTATAATAAAAAATTAATAATATTGTTCTTAAAAAAATAACAATATGTTTTGATTCATTGATTACAGACAATTACAATAGATTAAAATTTAACCATATTTATTATATGTTTTCGTTATTAATAGTGTTACTTTGAAAGAAAATACAATTGATATTTTATTTTGGAAGAAGTGCTAAAATAATGTTCTAACTTATGGCATTATTGACATAATATTTTAATTATTTTAATTATTTTAATCTTTTATGAAAATGGGAATGCAATAATTGTAGGATTTTTCTCAGACGCAAAATAAGATTAAGAAATTATTAATTTTTAATTATTATTAACAATGAGATTACTAATGTACCTACAATTGGTTTAATAAAAAAAACATAGTCCTACTCTAAACTTATTTCTAATATATCAACATTTTTTTAAACTCTTCGTAAGTTGAAAATTGATGCCATATACGAATATTTTCTTATTAGAATTTATTAATAAGTTTGTAAAACGTTATTATTAAATAATTATTTGTTACATCATTTAATTTAAATTATTTTATAAGTTAAATAAAATCTGTTGATGAGATTTATGAAGAAAAATTACAAGCTGCTAATAGTAAGGTATAAATAGTAATTGGAAAATTAAGTGAACAAAAATTAGATCTATAGTATTATTAATGTATTTATTAATATATTTAATATATTAAACTAAGATAATGCGCAGATAATGTATTATCCACCACGTTATATCATAAAAGTCTTTCCAGACCATTATGAGATTGTTCAAATTACTACAAGAAATATGCAATCGAGTCGTCACAATAGATTAACTACATTATGAAGATTAAATTTTTAAAATAAATTATTGAATAAAATATTGAATTATATATAATTATCAATTTCAGTGTCATAATAATAAAATAATATTTATTAAATTAATTACAAACCTAAATATTTTTCAAAAATATTTTTTAATAATAATATAATAGAAAACGTAAAATGAACGCAAGTGAAAAGTGTAACTATATTTATATTTTTTCAATATACAAAAGCTATATTTCTATAATTAAATCAGTACTTTCACGAAATTTTAATCATATGAAATTGGCAGTGGTTATTTTCTTATACAAAGAATTTTTATTTCACTGTTTGAAGAAATTATTTGGTTAAATATATATTATATTCACCAATTTCAAAAATTATTCTACGTACATGTCAGAATAGGAAAAAAAATAAAAATTAACTAGTATGTTTTATAAATAATCAATTAATTCTTATATTTCAAAAAAAGGTTTTTAGTTTATCATATTCTTTCTTTCTTATTTACAGGACGAAGTAAGTAACACCAGGATCTACCGGGTCCGGTATTATCTGCTGAAATGCTGTTTGGAGAGCGTGAGCTTATTTGATCTAAAATATTTTATAGTTATATATATATAATACATTAACTCAATAAAAATATTAATCTTACTTCTAAGAATACTTTATGTTTAAAAAATAGGATGGAAAATTATTATCTTATGAAAAATATAATTGCATATTAAATTAATAATTAACATAAACAAAATTATAACATTTTTATAACATTGTAGCAAAACTATTAAAAATAAATATATAAAATGACAGAAATATATTTTAAATAATAATTTTGTTTTTTAATATATATTTGTCTTATAAAATAAGGCGAATAAAAATATACGATGGTTACAATTGATTTTTATTCACATAATTTATATATATTTTAATTTGACTTAAAATTTGTATTAAATTATTTAGATAAAATCATAAACATATTAAAATTGTCTCATATATTTACTTATGTGCTTTACGAATAAAATTAATGAATAATCGTATTTAAGACTAGTAAAGAAAAACAAAAATATTTAGTAAATAATTTACTAAAATTAATATTGATTTAACGCTTTATCTGTTAATTATCGTAAATGGATAAAAAAAATTATAAACATAAATAATATATTGTTCACAAAACGAATAAAAGGTAATATACAATATTTTAATTTCATATGTCAACAAACGTTTGGTGAATATTGTTTAGAACATTAAAAATTCACCAGCACTGATAGATGATAAGAATATTTATAAAATACAACTAGTATGTAACTGATTTTATATCATTAACAATTGTATAATTTATTGTTATTTTTATAAAATCATTTAATTATTATAGAAATTAAAAATTTCATTTTTTATAATTTTATATACATATTTCTATAATATACTGCATATTTTACGATTAATTCGATTAAAATAAAAGATAATACATTTTTAAATACCTTATTTTAATTTTACATATTTTGTATATATAGTATACTTTTAATTTTAATTCGTTATTTTGATCTTTTAATTGTATAAAATTTAATCTGGTTATATCTTATTACAATATTAATATTTTAAAGTATTAGTTTAAAATTAAATTAAATTTTTTAATAAAAATAGTACATCAAAAAAGATATATATTTGTTTATCATTTATAATTTATTGTTATAAATACTAATAAGATTTTTGTTGTCTAAGTAAATAATTAATTTCAGGTATATACCATGTAAATTAATAAAATTCCAAAATTTTATATAAATTAAAATAAAATTTTTAATTTTAAGAAAATATTACAAATTTTTTTTATCTTAAGATTCTACTCTTATTATAATTGTTTCATTTTTTGTATTACTGTATATTAAATGAAACGTTAATGAATAATAATCATAATTTATATTAATTAATTGGATATTCTTTGAAAATTCAATATTATTTCCATTAATTACATAATTATCAAATTTTAATGAGTACAGTAATAATATGTATAATTTATATAATATATATAATATACAGTAATAATAATATATATTTCTTGAATATTAATATCAATAATGTGTACAGTAAAAATATCATTTAATAAAAATTAATTTTTAAATATTGATCTACTTTTATAAATAATCTATGTGGATAGAATGGATTTCTACTTTATTTATAAAATTTGGGATTTAGTGGTTTGATATTGTATGTACCAATATGTACAATATTATATTATAGTTAGCAGATGCTGCATTACTTATAATAATTATATTATTTGTATTATATATAAAAATATATTTTACTTATATTAATAACTTGTACTTATAAAATAATACAATGTAGGTTAATAGATCACAATTATATAGTATCTTGTATATAAAATATAAGTAATATTAAATGTAATATTAATTGATTAAGAATAACTATTTTATTGAAATAATTTTTCAAAAACTTTAATGAAAAAGATGGATATAGAAATGATTAAAAAAATGAGGATAGCTGTTTATGAATTCATTTAGTGATAATATATTTCACGACGTTACATTAATAGATGAGTTAATATATAACTAAGATTTTTTGCTGCTCTTATTGTAATATTGATGAAGTTTGAAAAAACAGATAGTAAAAAAGATAAACTAAGGCAAAATTTAACTTAAATAATTAGATTATTGTTTATTACTTGAAATTATTTGAGCAGTATTACTATTTGAAATGAAAATACTACTATGTGTATTATATAGCGTAATATGTTTGTACATATACATCTATAAAGACTAATAACCTAATAACAAGAATTATGAAAGCTATTAATGGTTCAAAGTTTAGCATATGCTATTTTGATCTTATTCATACAATTTATGAACTAATGATTTTCTAATTTTTTTCTTTAATTACTATAATTTGAGTGTTAAGTTAATTACTATGCATAAATTCTTTATAGAAAGTGTTTTAGTTAAATGAAAAACTTATTGTTTACATATTTAATTTTCTTTCTTAATGTTAAATATAAAATAATCTTTTTCTTTTATAGTAATTCTGATTTATTAATACTGATTATTCAATTCTTATACTTACAATTTATATCCTAATCTATTGACAGTGGTTTATTCATTATGCAGTTATTTGTAAATAACGTAGTTAACATCTATTAATGATAATTTTTATGCTATAGAATATTTTTGTAAATTAAATAAATAAAAGTTGTATTATGGTTTCGATGATACGAAGTTTAAATATATTGCAATTTTTTTTTGTTTCATGAAAATGCTCTATTGCCGTTATTATGTACATTATTATATTTTTATTGACAGAAATAATTACATAATATTTAGAATTCACTGAAATAATTATAATTAAAAATATACGAGAGTGCGTTTTTGAACACCTATATAATTTTACAATAATATCTTCATTATATTAATTCGAATTATAATTCAAATAATAATTCATAAAATTTAGTAAATATGTTTTCCTTGTAAATAATATTTAATTGGCATATAATAAGAATGCAGAATTACTATTATTATTAGCTAGAAATATTTAAAAAATTATAATATAATTTAAATATTTCACACAATACAATATTAACTTGAAAATTAAATGTCATATATAAAAGTTGATTTCCATGGCAGAAGAAAATATTTTGTTAAAATATCTTTTAAATTTTAGATTTCATATGCTTTAACAATGCAATAATTTAAACAATTATTTTGTTTTGCTTTTAAGAATTTACATTTAATTTTTGCATGCAGTAAAGTGATTTATAATATTTCATAATAATTTATCTTTGAGGCTCAGTATTAAATTTTGATCACATATGATCAAAGAAAAAATTATTTTAATAACCATCATACTAAAAGTCAATTATTACAAATTACAATGATTCAAATTTATTTGAATACTTTTTAAATGTTTAATCATAAAGATAACAAAAATATATGAACATATATTTTTTTACATTTACATTATATATTTGCATGAACAGTGTTACTAACTATATGCTACATTTTTATCATATTCTAAACAAATTATAATTCAAAAATAATTTTTCTTTAATAAATTACAAATACATAAAATTCACGAAAATTAAAATGAGTATATTCTGTATTCGTTAATTTATCATTTATTTTTTCCAATTTTAACAAATATTTGAGAACACAATCGTTGAACTTAATAGTTTACGTAATAAATTTAATATACAAATCTGTTTTCAATAAAAATACAATATAGATATTTTATAAAGTCAAGTTGTATAAACTTATTTAACGTTTATTATGCATTATTATTTCAATAATAAATCACCTCAAATTATATATATTTATAATTTTATAATTGTCTCAATTTAAAAATTATAATTCATAAAATATTAAATAATGTAAAATTCTTAATATGGTAATTTCACAAATTTTAAAATATATTTATGAATAACTTTTTTCGTTTAAGATACTTACCTAGAAATCTTTAACTTTATAAATGAAATTTTTTTATAAATTTAAAGACAATTTTTATATTATTCAATTATTAATCAAATGTTTTCAACTAATTATTAATATTTATTTAATTTTTAATTTAATTTCAGGATTCAAATGTAATTATAAACATAAAAATGATGTTCAACTATAAATTAAAGGTGAAACATTATGTGAATATTATTGTTTATTATTTTAAATAAAATAAATTTATTTATTAATATAATTTCTATAAATAGAAATAATATGTATGTTTATTATGAACCGTGGTATTCAAGAGAATTGAACTATCTACAATAAATACACTGAGTTTGAAAGCTCAATTAGGGAAACGTTAGTTAAATGTGTTTATACGCTAGGCCTGTTATGTTAAATTATTAATGGCTACATTTTGACGAAATTTCGCATAGTACAAAATGGTATGTGTGTGTTACAGGTCCACGAACGCGACGTACGAAAGTGAAGGATGAACTAATTAGAACAGCTGTACCAGAGGAAAAGCGACCTCGAACAGCTTTCAGTATAGAACAATTAGCAAGATTAAAGCGTGAATTCGCTGAGAACAAATACCTGACTGAACAACGTCGTCAGGCTCTTTCAAAAGAGTTAGGTCTCAACGAGGCACAAATAAAGATTTGGTTTCAGAACAAAAGGGCAAAGATCAAGAAAGCAAGTGGCCAGAAGAACCCATTGGCGTTACAATTAATGGCACAGGGCCTTTACAATCATTCAACGGTACCGCTATCGAAGGATGAGTTGGAACAAGCCGCTGAACTACAAGCGAATGGAATATAAAAAAAAACAGAAATATGTATACTATGAAGAAATCAAACAATTCTAAAAAATCCTTTAAACTGTCTGACAAACATCCTTTAATTTAAAAATTGGATTTTACAGAGCTGTATTTCCGTAAATACATCTAGAGATTGTTTATTGATTAACATTTTTTTTTAATATGACAATATAATACATCTTAAATGCAAAATAAAAGAAATTATTCGAGCCAATTCGCCATTATCCATATACAAATGGCTAATTAGTAATTGAAGACAGGCAATTGAATGATGGAGAAAGAGTTCTTTATATATAATTCGCTCGAAATAGTATTTTTTTATAATAATCAATTTATAGATTTTGTATAGTTAAAAACAGAGATTTAAGTAGAAAAAATTTTTAAATCTCATGATTTTTATGTGTTTTGAGCGTCAAGTGCTTTAGATTTGAGCATTAATGATGCATCTTGAGTCAATTATAGAGATTTTTTAGCTATTACTTGAATTTTCATAGAAAAGAGTGATATAAAAATATATAGAAAATATTAGGTATGTATATGGATGTATGTACATATATAAGGGTGTGTATGCGCGCGTGAGCATATGTGGATGTACGTATACATGCGTGTATGTGTGTGTGTGTATATATGTATTTATTTATGTATAAAATATTACTTCTGTTTTGGATATGTTACCTCAAGCATAGAAAGTTGTAAAACGGAAATTTATATTACAGTGCCATTCCTTTTGTTCATTAAACTACGAGTATCACCAACTGCTTACAATTATAGATTTATGTTTTATTCAATGTAAAAAAATTATAAACTCGTTACACATAATTTTAAAACATTTTTAAAATAATCTTTTTTAGAATACATTTTTAATAGATACTCTTGTACAAATTTATGTTATCATCTAAATAAAACATATACATGACTTTGTAAGATAAAATTTGTTGATATTTAAATTTTTATTTTTTTTTAATTATTAATAATTATACATATATGTTCCAAAATAATTTTTCTATAAATTGGTAGTCTTACAATAATACAAACAATCGAAAATACAAATTACAAATATTGTATTGTCAAACTATTTTATTGAACAATTAATTTTGTTCTTTAAGATATCGATTTAAGTATTTTTATATTAGTTAATATTATAAATTAATTTTAGTAATGCTAGAAAAATTAATGAAAGTTTAATAAATTAGGTATTCGAGAATCTATTATTGTACAATGAGATATAAAAATGTTTTATAACATAATTAAATTTTTTTTTATAAAAATCATAATTTTGCCTACGCAATTATAGGTTTTATTAATTTATTGTAAAATATTGTAAAATGTATCCGAACTATTATATAATTGCAATGTGCAATAAGACTTTATGTACACTAATTGAAAGCAGTTATACTACCAATAATTGATGATTCTTTCCAATTTCTAAAACAATTGATCTGTAAATAGTACATCATATGGTGTTATTCATTTTAGACTGTTTAAAATAATTTAGTTATTTATTTGCCGAATATATATAATAAATAGAGAAACACGTATTGTACAAAATCATTTGTTTATAAAAGAATTTGTATGTGTAAAATCCTTTAAAATTTATTAAATATTCCCAAAATGAATATGACATAGTATTTAAAAATTTTTATCTATATTATATTTTTTTATTTTTTTCCACTTATTTCAGGAATATAGAAAGTTAATAATTTATTCAATATATCTTTGTACAATTTTCTATTTATACATTCATTGCAGTTTCATAGTGTTTAAAAATTTTTATATTCCATGCATGTTAAATTTACAAATTAAAAAAAAAATGATATTTCAAAAATAAAAATATTTTATTTTATTTTCTATACAGATATATAATTTTTAATAAATTTATATAAATTAAAAAAAAATTTTGAAATTATAAACTTGAATAATTTCTGTTATTATAATATAAATAAATTTATCTAAATATTAATTTTTTAACTATTCCTATTTTTTTTAATTTAAGGAAATTTAAAAACTGAAATAAATAAAAATAAATTTATTCTGAAATATTTTATAAAGTATAGATATACATTTTCAGTATATCATTAATGGCTGTTTAGTGAACTAACTACATATTTAGTACACATTAATGCATTTCAAAGGTAAGTATATTCTTTTTTTTTTAATATAGTTTATATATAGTTAACACATCGCAAATATGAATAGAAGTTTAAATTACTAAGCATTAGAAATTAGAAAATTTAGATTAATGGCTAGTAAAAGAAAAGGGAAATAAATTATATACTATGGGTTGAAAAATTATGCACCTTTAACAAATACCTTTTTTCTTTCCACATATTAAGTGATTTATAGTCGCAATGTATCTATTATCGATATTAAGTCTGCAATAATACTGAGTTCTGCTTTATATATCCCTCAATATCTCCCTTTTCATTTTTTATTTTATTTAATAAGCTTTGCAGTGTAGTATTTCTATTTCTCAACTTATATTAATACGTATTAGCTGTTTAATTGAATGAGTTTATTGTTCAATAGTATATATTAAATGATATAAGAAAAAAGTATTTTATAAACTTTCCTTTTTGAATAGTGTGCAAAAAATTAATTCCATTAATCCGATTCGTCAGCCAAACGTGTAAAATTAACTTAGAAAAAACCACTAGATGTGTGGGAGAATGCGTGGGCAAGTGAAGGGTTAATGCACTGATTTAATAATTGACACATATAATTCTTATTGCTGTTTATTCCATTTATTTCCAATTTATTTCCAATTTGAATTTGCTCTGAACGAACACTACAATTCTTGTTTGTGTCGTGATCTTGACACGTGCTGCAGTTGCCTCTGAATAGTGGGCTGTGTGAGTGAGCACGTGCCTAAGATAGAGGTTAGAGGAAATGCGCGCCACTGTATAGCGCGAATTGCTGGTCTTGCGTAGTGAGAATGCGCGGGAAGCTTCTGTGGTCGGGCAGCTTGCGGTCCGTTTTCATAGTAAACCGTGAGGCGAAGAATCAACATCAAAGGTAAGGACTTACGTGGAAGGTGTAGTGTGATATTTTCAGTTTCTCCTCACAGGCTTGATGGGAAGTTTCTATGTACGAACTGCTTGCACTTGATCTTTCTTTTGTCTCCTTTACTGAGATGACGAGAATCTCAGTACATGTGCTACATGTGCTGACATTACAGCTGTACACTACATGAGACTAAATGTAACTGGATATTGAATCACAGACATAGAAAGATATTTTACAAGACTCAGCTGATCGACTTTTTGCCTGTTCCTCATTTTCGGGAGTAGTCGTGACTTATCTGTGGTGAGAATAAGTGGTGGTATGTTGCATTGTCCTTCTTAAATAGTTCACTGACCCGGTTCCACTTGGGACCCCTTCTTCTTTCAGTTATCCAATCAGAGGTTGACCTTGGGCAACACGATGGATTATGCACGCCTTCATTTCCCCTTCCTTCCGGGCTCAGTCCCGAATATGCTAATCGGGAAAGTGTCGGAAAGTGGGGAGCTTTTACTATTGGTCGCCTCTCCCTGATCGCCTCTCCTTTCTCTAGGACTTGGCTAGATGAAGGGTCCTCTAGAGCGTGTTGATTTTCCAATGCGATCTACAAGATGCGGCGTAGTTAGGAACAAAGCAAGCATTGTCTTAAGCCGAGTGCGCACGTACGCCTATTGCTTGTTGTCGCACGTGCGGGGTTTTGGATTGCAGTGAAATTTAGGAAATGTTTGTACTCGATAGTTTTCGTATATCTGATACCTTTTCAGAATCTACGTCATGGTAGCAGTAAACAACAAAATAGTTTTTAGATAAGCGAGAATAAATAAGCTAATTATTCACTGGAGTTTTCCAGATGTATTGACCGTGTCGAGTGTCCAACGACCGTGGGAAGTCGTGGCAAGAAACTTTTCTCGCAATCTCGAACAAATAGACTTATTTATCTATATTAAATATAATGGAATTTATAGATATCTTTCTTTCAATTATAGTAAACTCTGTGTCCCCGTTACACATTTCCGTCACACTTGATAATTCATTACTTTTAATTGATTTTTTAATTTTATATGTGAATTTCATAAATTAATTTATCTAGATAAATTAATTTACACATCTAGTAAATAAATTGATGTAAGAAAAAAAAGTAAGAGTTTCTTACTTTGTCTATTTGTCCGTAATAAAAAGCGATTCCATTATAATATTTATATGATTCATATTATATGATCATTTTCATCAACAGTTTAATTTTTTATATTTAAATAATTTACAAAATTTTTTTTACCAATAATATGTAATGAAAAAATTGTAAGTGTATATAAAATTTTTTTAATAAATGAATAGAATATTTTTTTTAAATAATTAGTACTAATTGATTTATTAATTGTAGATTTTATAAATCTAATTAGATATAATGATTAACTGTTTATTCAATTTCATTTAAATTTTTAATATTATAAAATATAAAATAAACAATAAAATTGTTAATTTTTATATGTTCAAGAGTTTATAATTCTGAATTATAGTTTTTATTTATTTATTCACTAGCGATAAATTAAATATTTATACTTTACCAAATGGCACCTTTACAATATAATAAAATTCGGAAAATATTTTATATTTTTCAAAAATACATAATTATTGTACTAAATGTATAGAATTCAAACGACAAAACAGTTTCTGACGCCTTTACAATATTCTTAATATAATTTTTTTCAACTTCTATAAATATATTATAAGGCAGAATGTTTTTAAGATCAATGCGTACATCACTTTAGTAAAATTTATTTTTGACAAATCATCTGATTATACTAATACTATTGTTTACTTTTTGCTTCAATTATATATTAATGGTTCTTATTTTAAAGAATTATGTTTAATTTATTTTTTGTCTATAAAACAAAAATCAAAGGTTAAAATGTACATATAAAAAGTCAATGTTTTTCAGTAATAATAAGTAATTGCACATATTTATTTACTTGTAATAGATATAAATTATAGATATAAATAAATAAGATATAAATATCTTATTTATTGATAATATAAAATTTTTGTTTAATTGCAACAATGTAGATCTACTTTGTTTCAGTATTTAACTAGATAAGAAATAATTATATAATTTTTTATTTTTATTTAATTTTTATATAATATAATAATTATATAAGAACAAACAGAAAAACAAGAAATGCTTTAAATAATAAAAATATTAATCTGTTCGTTTACTTATTTTTTTTTTAATTTGATCTTATAACTGTGATTTATTATGTTATTGGTTTTTTTTAATAAGAAAAATGTTATTGCATACGTAATTTCAAACACCTTTTAAAAATAACAAAATAACTTGAAATTATATTATATTTAAGTTTTTAAAATATAATTTTGTTTGTCATTTATACTCATACTATTTGCATATTACTTTTAAATCGGTTGAGTTTTTTTACAATTGTATACATTTTTTTTTGTAAAAGGATAGATTACTATCTTTCAAATTAGCATTAAAATATAATTAATGATATGTGTTTTAATATGAACCTTCTTCTTTATAGGAGTTATAGAAATTTTATAAATTTGTCCATACATCTCATTAATAACTTCGAATAGCGAATAACTTTTAGATTAACATATAAAAGTCTGGATTATATTGATGTTAAAATTTTCTCTCTTATTTCTGGCTTATAAAATTTCCAAAGATTAGAATTTACTCTTATTTAAAATATTCATTCATGTCTGTCTAAAAATAGAGTACCGGGCGAGGAGGGCCAAGTAACTAAGATTAGGTATGAGCTCCCGATGTTGATAGGAGGATTGCAGGCTAGTGGACAAGATAGTCATGTATTCAATAAAGAGTAGTTTTGTTATTTAGTTTGTTTTATTTATGATTGCACTAGTTGAATTATAATTAGTTTTATTTTTATAATTGATTT